CAAAACAGCTTAGTTTGGCCCCGACAAGAGCCCACCAGCGCCGGCCGCAGTGACCAGCCCTGCCCGGAGCCCTTGCCCAAGGAGTCATGCCAACGCCCCGGCTCGGCAGGAGCAGCGAGTCCTGCAGCTCTTGCTTGGTGTTTGCAATGAGTTTTGACGGAGGAGAGGTCCCGCACGGCCCCGGGAGGTCTGGGCTTGCTGCAGAGCCCGAGGAAGAGCCAGCTCTCCGCTGCCGGAGGGAGCAGAGCAGCCACCATCCCAGCAGAGGAGCTCTGCCGGCTCCGCGCAGAGGCTGGCGGTGGGAAGGGCTCGTCCCAAGCCATCCTCTCTCTAAGACAGAGCCACAAGCAACACACAGACACACCGCTACACGTCTGGGGGATTTGGCAGCCTTTCGGCAGCTGTGACGCATTTCTTAGTAACTACTAAGGGGCTAAGAAATCCGTAAAATGAACCAAAAAAACCCAAGAAGCAGCTAGCTGGAAGTCTATGGCGAAGCAGGGAGCAAAACTTTTTTTTTTTCCCAAGCTGCCAGATTCACAATGAAACAAAACACAGTAAAAAGCTATTTTTCCAAGGAAAGGGCACACTGGAAACATAGTTTTGCTAGGCGGTGGCGGACGCCCAAGGCCACATCTGGGCTGTGCTCCGGGCTGCACCGCGGGCTGCACCCCGTGCCCGCTGCGGTTGCTCTCCTGGATCTACCGTCCATCCGTCGAGTCCCACCACACGCGTGCCCGCAGCTCCCTGGCACGGCACCGCAGCGCGGTGCCCGCCCCGGGCACAGCGGGGACGCTCACAGGGGACATTCATCACCTCGCTGCTCACAAGCCATTGCTCAATCTGTCGCAATGCAGATGATGCCGTCCAGCGCACGGGGCTGTATTTCACGGTGAACATTTCCTGCTACCTGCACAACGCTATCAGGCTGGAGAATGGGCTCGGCTTCTCAACGATAACAGAAAAATCCCTAATTCTCCAAATGCGCCCAAGTCCCTTCTGTCACTTCTGTCCCCACACAGGAGCCAGACCCCGCCGCTCGGGCGAGTGGCTCCAGCCGATTCAAAATACCTGCTGGCACGAGCGCTGGCAAACCCACCTGTTATTGCTGAACAAGCTTTGGGCTGGCTCCAGCCAGTGAAGCCTGGCACAATTCCCGCCAGCTCAGGACGAAGCTTTGTGTCCAGCGAAGGGCAGCAACAGAAGGAGCCCATCTAGAGCCATCGCCTGTGGCTGCGGCAGCCAGAAGACCTCGGGGCGAGACGACGCAGCCGTAACGTGGCAAAGCTCCCGAGGGAACGCGTCTGCAAACACCACGCTTGCCTGCTTTTTCCCCGGGGTAAAAGATCTGCTTAATCACCTATTCCACTAAAATAGGACTTCATGTTTGCATTTCTTTTTTTTTTGGCTTTCATCAATGGTAGGGAATGAAATAACCACAGTTCACTACTCTTTACTGTGAAAGACACTGGGATGCTAGGATCCTGCCTCGTAAATCACTGCGTTTGCAGCCCCAGCCCTCCCCTCCTTTCCTTCCTCCTGGCAGTTATCCCTTGTTGGTGTGCTTGGCATGCATAGGGACGGGAGGGGTTCTCTGATAAAGTGCAAGTGCTGTTGGTCCTTATAAATAAGGGAAGATTGTGCATCTACTTTTGTTCCCTGGTTCACCGCTCATCTCTCGGCGACCAGGATGTGTCCTTCTGCAGACTATGTGGAAAGCTCACGCAAGTCCTCCTGTCAGAAACCTGCTCCCGTCGTCTGGGGTCAAAGTTATTTGCCTTCATTCTCTCTCCCTGACACAGACAGACAGACACACACACACGCTTCCCCCTCCTTGCCCCCAGCTCCGCAGGGAATTTCCCAGGAGCCGGGTGCCAGGCTTGGGACAGGGCACCTCTCCATCCCCATTTCCATCTCCACCACTATCACCGGCACCGGCGCTGCCCGCGCCGCCCTGCCAGCCCCCAGCTCTGCCTGACGCCTCCCCTTCAGGCAGCGGGTTCCATACATGCAGAAATACAGAACAATGCTTCAAATGCTCGGGAACGACGGAGTTAAGATATATTTTACGATGTGAAATTGCTATCGAGATCACACTGGAATACCCACAAGAACTACTGGGTGCAGCCAGCACCTACAAATAAATAGGAAGATCAATGGGTGAAGCACAACAGACGCGGCTCCCGAGCTGGAGTGGATTGATGCCAGTGAAGTCAAACAAAGAAGAATTCAAATACCGGGCCAGCAAGGGTAATTTGCAGGGGCTGCACCATTTACAACAGTAAAACACAGAAGCCCCAGTATACCGAGATGACGGATCGCCCTGGAGGAGTTGCTCCGAATCCACGCTCCTTGCACGGGCTTGGGCTGCTCTAGCAGAGCCCCGGGGGGAGCAGCACCCAGGCGCTGCCCTGCGCACCCACGAGCGGGGGCATCTGTAATCCAGACAAGGTAACACGTTAGGCGTTGAATTGCACCCCGCTGCAGCCCAACGCCCCTCAGCGCGCACGTGAGACTGCCAGGACCCCGCGCAGCACCGCCGGGCCTCCCCTGCTCGGGGCAGACCCCCAGGGCACCCCGAGCACAAACACACCCTGCGTTTCCCAGGGAAGGCTAAAGCTTCGGGGGGTCGCTCCTCTAGCGAGACACCATCCGTCCCTGCACCGGAGGCATCCCGGGGAGGCGTCCCACCCAACGCCCTGGAGAGCCAGCCACCAGAGCCACCCGGGAGACACCCCTCCGCCCAGTGCCCAGCCCCATCAGGGAAAGGTTTGCTCTCATGAAACACAAAAAGAAGAGCAGATCTCACTCCGCTGCAGAAGTCTAAGGGACCCACCCCTGTTAAACACCCGGCAACACCAATACCCAGCCCGGGGCCGCACATCTCTGCTGGCGCCTATGCCCACCCAGCTCAGCGCTCACGAGAAACCACCTCCGCAGAAGGTACGGGTTCGGCCGTGGACTAAAACCTGGCCGGGAGCAACAGGAACCCCCCTTCTGCTCTCCGGCTGCCGGTCGGCAGCGACCCCGGTGCAGAACTCGCCCAAGGTGATGCTCGAGGCTCATCGGAGTCACAGGGAACGTTGCCAATGCCTTTGGAGATGTTTGGTTCAAGTCCGCAGGTAATCGTCAGGTCCAGCAAGGAAGACTTCTTCCCAGGGCAGCTTCCAAAAATTTCGGAAAAATAAACCAGACTGTGCAATTCCATCAGGAGAGGACAGAAAAGGGTACGGAAACAAGAGACTGCACATGTGGCTATGTGCAATACCAGAAGTTTCTACTTTTTTTTTCAACTGCACGCTCATTATAATAAAGAAATGGAGCTGAATAATTAGTGGATGAGTAGAAACGTGTATCTGGACAATTCTAAAAAATTGCTAATATTTACGAAGGGCAGTTTACAAAAAGAACTGGAGGACTTTGGTCTGAACACTGCTGTCATTCCCACCCACGCCACGTTGAAGCAACCCAACCGAGACCCCTCTCAGCGTGTGACGCAAGCAGACCCTCGCACGAAGCCGCACGGTGCAGTCGCCCAGGAGCCCTCTGCAAGCTTTGCCTTGGCACGATCTACACGGGCCGGCCCGGGCTTGGAGCAGGGCGTGTGTTAAAGAGCAGAAGCAAAGCGTGGTGAGACCCCGGGCAGGCTGGGAGACCCCAGCAGTTTGGAGGGGCACAGCACGGCATGGACTGCCGCACCAACAGCAGCACCCGACTCCCTGGAAAGACTGGGAGAGGAGGGCTTGCAGAGCTTCCCTGGCAAACCAGTGGGCAAAAATCCCTTTTTAATGCTATTAAATAATCCCCATGATCATGGAGAGCGGGCTGCATCTTCTCCTGCCATGGCAGACCCAGCCAAGACCATGAGAGCACAGGAAGAGGCTCCCCGGAGCTCACTGGCCTTGGGCTGGGTCAGGAGGCAATTGGCTTGCTCTGTTCTTGTTTCTCACAAGGGGCTGAGCAAGCTTTGGTGGCATGCTCAATTTAGAAGCCATTTTCCAAAAAAACCCCACATCCAACTCCTGTAATACATCTCTTGTGCCAAGAGAGGCCCATCCTTTGAAAGTCCACACCTAAAACCCGTCCCCAGCCAGCCCCGAGGCGTCACACCTAATACAGCAGGGACCACAGCTCTGCGAAACAAAGGGCAGACACAGGCTTTCGGGCTTCTTCCCATCTACCTTGATGACATATCGGGCTACAGAAGTCTGGAAATACCCTCCACCACTGCCTCGAGCTGCTGCAAGCTGCCAGGAGCCGGGGGACCTGCCTGCTGCGAGCTCCCTGCTCACTTCCCGCTCGCCCTGCCCCGCACCGCAACCCGCTGCCCTGCTTTCGGGAACACAACGGTGCACGAGCACCGCCTCTGACACGGGGTCCGCAGGGAGCAGGATGCACCCCACGCACAGGGCATCGGGCCTTGCAATGGCCGGGCGCCCCGCGAGCGCCGGGGCAGCCAGGAGCCCTGCAGCAGCCGGCAGGCAGGAGGGGAGCTCCTCTGCTGCCTGCTCCTCTCGCC